TTAACCAAAAGATACAAATCAAACAGGAAACCTACTGGAGGAAGATACAGGTGACTATTATTTGATTTGAAGTGAGAAAAGGACTTTTTAGAGAAAAAAGGAAAAGAAACTCAAACAGGAGAGACTCGGAGTTCATGACAAGCCTTTTAAGGTGTTTGTCTCAAAAAGTACCATAAACAATACTTTAAAATAAAATGAGGAAAATTACACAAGTAAAGCAAAGGGCTAATAAAAGGTAATTTGAGTATGTAAGAAAAGTGCTAAAAATCATCATGGAGCGGGTAGAGGGAGTGAGGAGCATAGGATCTGAACAGACTAGGGCTCGGCATGCACACCCAAGAGACTCAAGGTGATCTCTGAGGTGTGTGGCAAGAAAATACTAGAGCTAGTTTTTTTTTTCTTTTTGAGAGGGCATCTCTCATATTTATTGATCACATGGTTGTTAACAACAATAAAATTCTGTATAGGGGACTCAATGCACAATCATTAATCAACCCCAAGCCTAATTCTCAACAGTCTCCAATCTTCTGAAGCATAACAAACAAGTTTTTACATGGTGAACAAATTCTTACATAGTGAATAAATTCTTACATGGTGACAGTGCAAGGGCAGTCTTCACAGAAACTTTCGGTTTTGATCACGCATCATGAACTATAAACAATCAGGTCAATTATGATTATTTGTTTGATTTTTATACTTGATTTATATGTGAATCCCACATTTCTCCCTTATTACTATTATTTTTTTTAAATAAAATGCTGAAGTGGTAGGTAGATGCAAGATAAAGGTAGAAAACATAGTTTAGTGCTGTAAGAGGGCAAATGTAGATGATCAGGTGTGTGCCTGTAGACTAAGTATTAATCCAAGCTAGACAAGGGCAACAAAACATCCACGGATGCAGAAGATTTTAGAGCTAGTTTTAAACATGTTCTTTAAACACCTCTGTTTTGGGCTATGTTTTATTACTTACATATATTAGGTCAGCTGCATTTTGTGAAAAAAGTTTAGCCCTCCTACTATAGAAAGAAATGAAGAAATGATAAAAAGACATTTTTCCTATGAAATTAATAAAGTTATTTTTTTAATCTTAGTGAATATTAACCAGGATTCACTTCAAACCCTGCAAATGAAAACATAAATGGGTAAATCGTTCTGAAAAGTGGTTTGGAAAAAATGTGTCAAAAGGCTTAAAGACAGGAACACCTCTGGATTCAAGTTGCCAAATTTAGCAAACTACACAGGACATACTTATTTATAATTATTGATTGCTTATCTAAAATTCAAATTTTACTGAGAATCCTGTATTTTGTCAGTTAATTCTACTTTAATTCTGCAATTCCACTTTGAAGACTGAGGAAAATACCTAGAGATAAAGACAAATATTTCTGGACAAACACATTCTCTGCAGCAATGCCACTTTTTTTAGTGAAAGATTAAAATTTTAATCTAAATGTCAGTATCAGAGAAATAGTCATATAAGTTCAGGCACATTTACACAAGGTAAAAGTACATAGTCATTGTAAACTCTAGAACACAGGATAAGAACACCGGCTATTTTCTGTACTCTGGGAAAACCAGGCTTTTGCTGGGGAAGAAATGTCAATAAATCTCCCAGTTATGTACTAGCAGAACCAAGCAGGGGCATTTAAATAAGAAGGTGCTACCTTGCTCTGCAGCCTGATTAGAAAAACCTACAGTCTTGGTTTTAAGTTTTGATTTCTGCATTAAAATATTCCTCATATAAGTTCACCATCCTTTACCTGTAATTCTGAAACCACCCAAAAGCTTTGAAAACCCAAAGGTTTTTGTTGTTTTAATTACCGTTGGTGTCAAACTTACCTGGCAGCAAAACCAGACCTGAACTGGCAAGGAGAATCTTAATAAAGTCTTTCTTCATCTCACTTGGGGTGGATATTCCTAAGTTTTGCTGCAGAAATGTTAATATGTTTTCTGCCCTGTATTTACTAGAGATGGGATGTATTACATGATATATATATATATGGATAAAGTGTAAGTTCCTGTGCCAGGATTCTCACCTGGTCCTGGTCGGCTAGCTCACTGTACATGGTAGGCAATACATTGTTACTGATTCTATATAAAGAACTCCACCCAGTGCTCTGGGTGACACGGCTGCAAGGCTGCAGGAAAGCAGAGACAAGACTGGAGTGGCGGCAGTGCCGAGGACAGAGACTGAGATACTGCACGGGCAGAGAGGCCCAGAGACAGAGACCGGCTTGCTGCATGCAGACTGAGTGGACAGGATTCTAGTGACTGACCTGCCACCATGGGAATAAAGTTGGATATAAACCCGTTCACCCCAAGAATATTCCCCTGTCATTTCTTTGGTCTCATTGAATCCATGCTGAACTTGTCCGGGGCTGAAACCCATTGGCAAGACAATATATCTAACTTTTTTAAAGCTTGAAAAGTTCTGAGTTCCAAAATGCATCTGGACCCAAGGGTTTCAGACTGAGGGACTAGGAACTTGTTATGTTTCCTGAGGCTTCATAAACTTTTCTTTAACCTGAGTCATTAACACTAGTAGGGATGGAGGGAAGGATTGGAGTCCATGCCCAGGGTAAAGTGAGCCACAGAAAGCTGCAGCTGTTATAGCCAGGCAGGCAAAAGATGGGTAGAGATGACTGGAGAGAAGGCAGGATCAGCATTATAGAGTTGGAAGCACAGTAACAGCCAGAGAGCTCCTGATGAAGCTCCAGGGAGGCAAGGGGGACGGCCCTTCTGCTACGGGGAGGCGACAGAACAAACTCCTGGAGCCCCTGGCCCTGCAAACTCCCAACCAGAGTGAAGAGTGAGTACAGAGGAAGATGGGGGCTTCTGTCTGTGACCACCACAGGTCTGAGAGGACCACAGAGGGCTGTATTTCTTTGAGGAAGGAATGAGAAGATTTTCAGACCTAACTGGAGCAGACCCACCTGACCCCCTCCAGCAACCTTTCCCCCTCTTCTAACCAGGGGTCTGGTTGTGTTAATTTCCTATTGCTGCCTTCACAAATTACGACAAACTCAGGGACTTGTAACAACACAAATCTATTATCTCACTGTTCTGGAGGTCAGAAGTCCAAAGTGGGTCTCTCTGGGCTCAAGATAAGGTGTGGGTGAGCCTCGTTCCTTTCTGGAAGCTCCAAGGGAGAGCCCATACTCCTGGCTTCATGCAGCTGCCTGCATCCCTCGGCTCTTGGCCCCCTTCCATCTTCAAAGCCAGTAGCAAGGGGTCAAGTCCTGCTCGCACCACATCACTGCAACACTGCCTCCTCCTTCTACGTGTAGGTACTCCAGTAATTACAGTGGGCCCACCTGCATAGTCCAGCCCAATCTTCCTATTTTATTCAGTTGATTAGCAACCTCAACTCCCTCTGCTACTTTCCCCACTGCCATGTGAGGCAAGTTATTCATAGGCTCTGGAAATTCATATGCAGACATCTCTGGGAGACCATTATTTTCCTTAACACTCTGCTACAGGTACATTACAGAACACCAGGCAGACAGCCTACATAATGAAAACATTCAGTAATACAGGTAATGAATATAATGAAGAATTCTTCAGTGTTCAGAGGAAGGCATGGGGGTGAGACTATATTGACAGAAGCCTCCTGAACAGGAAGCAGCTAAGGCACCTGGGCTGTGACCTGTCTGACCACAAACGATGGCCTCTGGACAAGGATGTTTCAGCCTGCTTGGTCTGTGATCCCCAACATCAGCTCCTCCCTCTCTATTTACTGGTCCTGCTCCTAATTTCCTGCCTCTGCATACTTCCCTGTTCTGAATCAGGTCTGCAGGACTCCAGTCCTGGAAGACTGTATGCCTGTTTCCATCCTCAGACTCGGCTTAGGCAATCACATGCCTCTGGCCTCCCTGTCTCCTGGTCTCCTGGTCTCCTCCCTCCAGCCCTGGAACAGCTGAGTTCCACCCCTTACTGTCTTGCCAATGGGTTTCAGCCTCAGTCAAGCTCACTATGGATTCAGTGTGACCAAAGTAATGACAGTAGAACATTCTTGGCATGAGAGGGTTATACCCAACTTTATTTCCACGGTGGTAGGTCAGTCACTAGAATCCAATTCACTCAGAGCGAGTCTGCATGCAGCAAGCTGGTCTCTGCCTCTGGGCCTCTCTGCCTGCACAGCTGTCCCACACAGCCACCCTCCGCACCTCTGTCTTCAGCGCTGCCACCACTCTAGCCTCTGCCCTACTCTCTTGCAGCTGTGCCACTGTGTCACCCAGACCACTGGGCAGAGCTCTTTATATAGAGTCAATAACAACGTACTGCCCACAAGTGTGTAGTGAGCTAGCCGACCAGGGCTAGGTGAGAATCCTGGCCACAGGAACTTTCATTTTATCCACACTTACCTATTCCCAGATATTACTAGTCTCTTAAAGTTGACCAACCGGTCCCCACAGGGAAGGAGATGGGTAACCAAAGCCATATATTTACAGCTTTGTTCACTCAGCTGCTTCCCTAGAGACTAGAAGGTGTGTGGGTCCAATCGAGAGAGAGCAGGAGAGTTAGGAAGCCTGCATCCCACTCTAGGGGCAGGAAATTTTTCTAGGGCAAGGGGGTCTGAAGAGCAGGACAGTTGTAAAGGAATGAATGAGGTGACAAGGTTCTAGTTCGTTGTAAGAAACAAAGAGCAGGGGGATGGCCAAGGACAGAGACCTCAGCTAGGAATTATAATTTGGTAAATTGTATGGGTAATCCCAAAGGTAAAAACCTTCCCTGGTTGCTCTTCTCTGGCCCTGGATTTGCCCTTCTCGGGGGAGTGTGACTGGAGCACAGAGGCAGGCTGACTATGCAGCCTAAGCGGCTTGGGTGGGCTCTGCCCTCCTGTTGGGCAGGACCACAGCATGGAGTCAGCCAAAGCTAGACGGGAAGCAAGAAAATGCTGGAAGGTGCACAGACGAAGTAACAGCTCAGGCAGTGGTGGCATTCTGCAGCCCCGTAGCCATGTTCCCCATGGCTCCTCAAACAGGCCAGGGCCCACTCACCAAGCTCTCCTGTATGTAGGCGGCCGTGGGGCCTGGGATCTGACTCAGCAGGGCTGCTCTCTCCTGGGGCTGCTCCACCATCTCCAGGGCCAGCTTCAGGTCCTCGACCAGATGGAGCACGGGGAGGGGGTTCGTGTAGGAGGCCGGGGAGCCCAGGCCTGGCTCACAGGTGCCATCACTGATGTCCGTGCCTGTTCTAGTGCCTGGAATGAGAGAGGCAAGAGCCACAGTAGGAATCGTGGATGCCATGGGCAAGGAACTGGTAAAGAGCAAAGGGAGAGGGGAGAGGAGATAGGATGAGAAGCGAGCAGAGACTTCTGCCTGAGCAGAATCACTCACAAAGTGAATCTGGCAGAAATCATCTTCACGCCTGGGCTAGGCAGGAAAGGAAGAGACCTGTCAGAGGTGATGGCTTTGCCCTCTGCGACTGACATATGGAAGCTCACACCCCTGGGCAACTGGGAAAACACAGCCAGCCCTCACCAGCCATGAAAAACGTGCTAGCTAAAACAGTGAGACACCATTCTTCAGCTTTTAGATGTTTTAAGTTAATATGGTAGCTTGTCCACACAGATAGCCACCCCAAATCCCTCCCTTCGTGGTATGTGCATTCCACTCCTCTCATCCTGGGGTGCTCCCTGACTCTGTGCTGGCCTAAGGACTTGCTTGGATCAGTCACAAATTGTGCCAGTTCTGATGAGGATTTAGTGAACAGGAATCATTCTGGATCTTCCCAATCAGGAGGATCTCTATATCCTGACGTCTACTTTCAACCAGCATTAAGTAACGGGTATATCCACATCTCCTCTCCCCATTAGGGTCTCTGAGGGCAGAGTCCCAGTCATAGTTAGCCAGCTTCTAGCTCTCTGCCTGGCAGGTGCTGAAGGGGACCTGGCTAAGTGCCTGCACTCATGCTTAGATGAATAGCTAGGAGGCACAGTGCCTGGATTTCCTCAGAGATGTGGGATACAGGCTCAGCTCTTTCTAATTTGATATGTCCCAAACAGGACTGGTTTTGCCTTTCTAAATCCCACCATTTAGAAAAACAACAAAAAGTCTTCTTTGCATAAATAGAGCAATATATTTTTTAAACCACAACTGGGGTAACACAGTCTAACAAAGGATTTCTGTGCTTTTTTCAGCAGTAACACTTTAGAAAATATGGTTTAGATGGAATTTCTAGGGCATTTAGGTTGTCTTTAATACCAGCAGGATAAGATATTTTAAATCAGGCCTCTGCTGGAAAATGTGGGCTGCAGGGCTACCACATCTATAGTTAGGCTGCAGGCCTGACGTCTAATTCCAGGTCCCTCTACTCTTCCAGGAGCCAATGTCTACTTTGCCTTAGCAGTCTGGAATGAGAATCTACACAGAAGGAAACAATTACTGGTTGATTGCTGGTTTGCTTTCTGAAAAGTGCAGGACAGAGGGAGTCGTGGATCACAATCCATAAACAAGTCTGTGGCTCTGGCAGCCAAGGAACTGCCCAATTACCCATGCTCTGATCTGTGTCCAGCACTTTCTAGCTCCTACAGATCTGACTTTGAGTTGACTAGGAAGAGCCACAGCCAAACTTCAGGGAAGAAAGTGAACAGATGCAGAATGAGACCCCCAGTCTCCAAACCATTGCTGAGTTATCCTGACCTTACTGGACATGCTCCAACACACTCATACACACACCTCTATAAAGGTAGGATAAGTTAGACCAGCAGTAGGTGAGAAGACTGAGATTTTCATTGACTTCATATCACTCTGTGGCCTCAGACAAGTCTCCATTTTTGGAGCCTCTTACTGCCCTAAAGCCTTTGCATTCTTCCCTACCATTCAAATAGTGTGTGTGTGTGTGTGTGTGTGTGTGTGTGTGTGTGTGTGTGTGTGTGTGTGTGTGTGTGTGTGTGTACACATGTATCTGTGCCTATTTTTGCATGTATTGTATGTGCATATAAAAGACTTTAATTCTTATTTCTTTGTAACTTATACCAACACATAGGCTCACAAAATGGTCCAGAAAGATGACACTAAGGCCCAGCATTAGCAAAGGCAAAAAGTGCCCAGAAGATTCAGTTCTACACTCCCCACGTATTCCTTGCAGATAATTAGTTCCTCCAGAAAATTATAACCACACAGGGAAAGAAATCAAAATAGGACTACCCAATGCAACAGGTAAGAAAATGTATGCACTCATACCTGGGATTAACGGAACAAAATGAGAGAGACAGTTAACAAAAGGTAAGGTGTTGTTCCCCACATTACTTCTCAGAAAAGAGCAATTTGCTCCCTGCCCTAAAGCCCCAATAAAGTTATACTCAAGCCCCAGTAAAGTTTCCCTTTGGTGGCATTCTGTTACTTTATTTTGAACAAGAAAGCACTCTTTAAGGAGAAGAGATTAGCACAACAGTTTCAATTCTGGATGCACACTGAAATCACCTGGGGAGTTTTATAAACTATAGATGCCAGGGTTGTACCACCAGAGGTTCTAATTGGTCTGAGGTGTGACCTGGGATAATAAAAGCTCCCCAGGTGATTATAATGGGCAGCCTAAGTTGAAACAATTGCACTTTGCAAATCACCCAATCAGTGGTAAATTTTGATGCTTAGAGAGGTCACCTGAATTTTTATTTTAAGGCTGCAAAAACTAAAATTTAATACAGAGTTAGTAATTATTAGTGAGATAAGACCACATAAAATGCAAGCACAGGATTTTATTGAAAGCCTTTTAATGATCACTTTTAAAAGCAAGTATTATGTGGTGGTAATTAGGGATAGTCAGTAATGTTTTGCTTCTTGAGCTCATGGTAGGATTACACTTCTGTCCCTTGAAGTTACTCATGGCCACATGACTTCCTTTGGCCGATAAATGTAAGTGGCAGGTATCACCTCTGGGAGAAAGTCTGTTAAGAACCAGTACACATTCCCGTATCTCTTCCAAATGCTCTGGCCTCTGGCAATGGTGGAGCCTATTCCCATGTCCCAGAGTGGTGACGATATGGACCAGAGCTTGCAGCAGATGCAGCAGATCTAGGGGAACTTGTTGTATGGGCAAGAAATATACCATGCTGCTTTAAGCTACTAAGGTTTAGGATTATTTGTTATTGAAGCATAACTTAGCCTATCTTAATTTACACAAAGTATGTATGTTGTATAATTCAGAAATATGTACATACAAGATAAACTTTTAAAATTGATCTTTTATTATGTAAATGAAGTTCACTGGCATGAGATGAAATATCTGATGACAGAATTATATGTGAATTTTTAAAGTGCTACATTGAGAACAACTTAAAAGTGAAGATAATGTGCTCTAAAAGTTAGCCACTTAAGAGTGTGAAGCACATCAGCAGGATTAGCATTCCCTGGGAGCTTGTTGGAAATGCAGAATCTCAGGCCTCACCTCAACCTTACAAATACGAATCTACATTTTATCACCATCCCCAAATGCTCTACTAGTGCTCTGAAATGCTATAATTATTCATAATGATAAATAATGGATAATGATAGAAATAGTATGTTGCAGCTAAATGTAAAATGCTGTGGAGAAGGTGAAGTTTCCATGGCCAGGATTCTCACCTGGCCCTGGTTGGCTAGGTCACTACACATGTGGGCAATACATTGTTATTGACTGTATATAAAGAGCTCCACCCAGTGCTCTGGGAGACATGGCGGCACAGTTGCAAGGCTGCAGGAGAGCAGAGGCTGCAGTGGTGACAGCACAGAGGACAGAGACTGAGATGGCTGTGGGGGCAGACAGGCCCAGAGGACATATAGACTTGCTCTGAGGTGGATGGGATTCTAGCACATGACCTGCCACCAAGGGAATAAAGTGGGGTAAAAGCCCTTTCACCCCAAGAACGTTCCTTGGTCATTTTTCAGTCTCACTGAATCAAGAGTGACCTTGCCTGGGGCTGAAACCCACTGGCAAGACAACTGGTGATGTCAGCAGGATTCACTGTAGACTGAAGAATGGAACAGGCTGCCCTTATGGGAGGAGTGTTTCAGCAATGTGGGGAAAATGGAAGTTCCTAAGGACAGGATCCTCACCTGAACCTAAACTACTTAATGATGTAATTGGCCTACTGCTAAACTACTGCTTCCACATCAGTAGGCAATAAGCTATTATTGACTGAGTCACTATGTAAAGAGCTCTGGGCAGAGGCAGAGATGAAGGAGGATTACAGATATGCATAAGTAATTCTAGTGCTCAACCTATAGCCAGGAGGACAAACCAGGTAATAAACCCTTTTACCCCAAGAACATTCCATTGTCATTTCTGGATCTCACTGAATCCAGAGTGAACTTGCCTGGGGCTGAAACCCATTGGCAAGACTATTGGTAATGTTGGCAGGATTCACTGTTACCTGAGGAATAGAACAAGCTACCCTTATGGAGGGAGAGCTTCAGCGGGCTGCCCCCTATGAATGGGGAGAGAGTTGAGTGTCCCCCAGTGGGCATGCAGTCTGAAGTGGCTTGCCTCCTAGAAGGCTGGGCCCCACCCCAGGACTGGAGGCAGGTGGAGGTGACATTTGAGGCAGTAGAGATGGCCCTTGGTATAATTTTCTATCCCTGTAACTGTGGCATTGTTACAGGAGTTTTTGGGTCTTCTAGGCTATTGGAGACTGTTTATCTCATACTTGGCACAAATTCTGAAGTCCTTATACCATTTGGTACAAAAGGGCATCAGGTGGGACTAGGATGAGACATGTGCATCTGCCTTTACTATAACAAAACAGGTAACTGAGAGTGATCAAGGCATCCACTTTACCAGACATGCATTATAAGAATAGGTGCAACAGCTAGGAATCAAATGGAAGTTTCATGTGTCATATAATCCTACTGTGAGAGGCATGATAGAGATATACAATGGTTTGTTAAAATCTGGACTGAAATCAGACACCAATAGTCTACAGGGGTGGTCAGTCCGCTATGGACAGTATTACAGCATTTGAGTGAGAAACTCCAAAAGGAGCAGTAAGCCCCATAGACATGCTAATGCATATTGTTGACTCCCTTATACTGCAAGTACAAACCAAGGAGTTGTTGAAGCCGAGGTTTGGCCACGAGAATATATCTTGCTGACAGCACCAACTGCAAGGAACCCTGGAAACTCCATTGAGTGGACATGGCCTTGGACATTTTGACCCATGGGCCAGTGGTGGCTGGCCCTCCTAGCACCTTGGGGACAAGGCCTGGGAGCAGGCCTCCTGCT